TAGCTATAGAATAATATAATTACGGATAATTCGGGTTCGACAAAGAGTTCCTTAGATGCGTACCGGGATCCACACAGCACAAGGGAAGTCTGTAAAGTGCAATATATAGTATATATAAATGTTTTATTTCATGATATTTTTAGACACGTTTGATTTATTTTTGTGGTAGCAAATTTTATATTTATCATAGATCTTAACAGTGAAACAACACCAATCCTAACCACTAATTCAACAAAAGAAACCAGAGCAATAATAAAGAATTTAGAAAGATCACAAGAACTCCCTCTTGAATTGGTCCAGGGTGCGCTGGCTGATGACCACATGCATCATCAGACGGTTGGGATATGCCTCATCCGCCACGGTGTCCACAACGGCAGCATTCTTATAGAGCCACGCCATTTCGGGGCCACCGCTGGGCACTCGCATCTGCAGCTTGCGTCGCCCCGTGGCGGCCAGTATCTGCTCCTCGATGTCAGCCAGCAGTGGCTCCAGTCCGGTCTGGGCTCTAGCAGAGATATGATGGACAGCAGCATCCGACGATGGCTGAGACACCAAGTCGCATTTGTTGTACACGTTTATGATCGGTGGCAATTGACTGGTGGCTGAGTCACCGCCAGACACATTGAAAGCCAAAGAACGGAGGGTGGACTCCACGTGGCTGCGTTGGGCCGCATGACAGGGGTGCGATAGGTCCTGCACATGCACAATGACATCCTGAAGGAAGGAAAAAAAACCTTCTTTAACTGAACCGAAAGGTATAATTGTGAGGGAAAAGACTCACCGCCAGCATGGCGTCCTCCAGAGTGGCCACAAAACATTCGAACAGACCAGTTGGTAGATCGGACATAAAGCCCACCGTGTCCATGTAGATCACCTGCAGATTGCACGGCAGCTGTCCCGCATGGGCCGTCACATCGAGGGTTGCAAACAGTTGGTTGCGCGGCTGCAAGGCATCCTCCACCGTCAAAGCCTTGATTAGGGATGTCTTGCCAGCATTCGTATAGCCCACCACTGCCACAATCGGATAATTCTGCTGCTTTCGTTTCTGTCGCAGCAGCTGCCGTTGACGGCGAACCCTGTCCAGCTCTGCTCGCAATTTGCGCTCCCGAGTGCGGAGGATTTCCTTCTGCAGATCGGTCAAGGAGTAGCCCTGACGACGCGTCTGCGTCACGCTGGCATCCTTGGCCTGCGACCAAATGTACGGCAGCTCGGCCATGGCTACCTGGAGACGAGCCTCCGCTGTGGTGGCATGCAACCGGAGGATTTGTATGACCACCGAATAGCGATCCATCACGGGCAGACGGAATTCTGCTTCGAGGAAACGTTTCTGGGCGAAGGAGAGCGTTCCTTTGCTCACGAATAGGCAGGTTAGATGCTTCTCCTGACGCAGATCCGCTATCAGGGCCTTCAGCTCCACCATTTTGCCGCTGCCAAAGAGAGTCTTCCGCTCGAGACTCTCCAGGGGAACCTTAAGGGCCTTTGCCACTTGCCAATTGGGCAGGGAGTGTATCAAAGCGCTGGCCTCGGCCAACTGATCCACCGGTCGAACGTCGCTAGGGATTTTTTGCCTTTTCGCGGACCACTTTACATACGGCTGAAGGATGAGCACCTGCTGGGTGCTGGCTATGTCGCGGCTTATGCGCATGGCACCGCCGGCCACCTCATCGTAGGCGCTGTCAAAAAGGAGTTCAGTAAGAAATGAGTGTTCTCTATTGATTACAAAATACACACTTACCGATCATCTAGAAAGCGCATGTCAGCCAGATTCCCATTGGAATCTCCTCGCTCCGCCTCCTCGTGATCTTCATCGCCGTGCTGTCCCGCCTGCATTTGCGCCTCAAAGAAGCTCTTCCGATTCCTTATGCCCTTGACGCCCTGATGCTGAGTGTACTTAAAGCGTGAATGGAGGACTCCCACCATAGCGGGACGCAGTGGGAGAGCCCTGGTCAGGCGCATCAGCGGCCTAAGACTAGTCATAACTAAAGCTAATTGGGAATTGCAAATTGCAATTGCTAAAAGGTTTCCTCCTTCAGTATCGTATGCTTGTCCTCAAAGGCCATCCATGCGGCTTGGCAAGATCTGGTGCGAGATGATGTCGTCTGATACGAGATGCCGGTGGCAACAAGCGAGGCCACCAATATGTTATACTTTGCCGGATAGCGGATCTTCGATTGAATTATTTTCTGAGCAAAATAGGTGCCAGAAAAGCCTGTAATTTGTAATTTATTATGCAATATTGGCACTGAGAAGGAAAACTACTACGACGCACCCAAGCAGAATGTGGCCAAACCCGTGAAGAGCGACCGGGTCATGCAATCCAGGTAGGCATCGAATCCGGGATGTTTGTCGCGTTGCTGATCCTTCAACTGTTTGATATCGTTCATAATCAACGTTGAATATTTCGTACTTTTATTATTATTTTATTTATGTGCCGGCGAGGAAAACAGCTGGGTTTCTTAAAGAGTGGCAGCTCTATCCATTTGAACTGCTTGTTAGCCTTTTTCCATTTTAAAATATGTATATAATAATATATATATACAACAATAAAAATAAAATACAATATTCAAACAAATATTTAATATGAGCATGGGCAAAATAATTGCAGATTGAGAACAGGCCCCATTTATCTAATATAAGCACAAATCTGAATTAAAACAATTGAAGTTCAGTTCGTGCTGCACAGTTTAGCTTTTTTATAGCTAGTTCTGGCTATTTTCAAAGTTGATTGCTAGAAAATTGCTACACCTGGCAACGCCAAACGCGCCGTCTGCTGCTGCTGGTGTTTGGATTTTCTTTTAATTGTTGTTTTCGCAGAAATTGTCCATAAAATGGATGTGGAGAAGATTTGCCTGACCTGCTTGAGTCTGACTGGGCCGTTTCTATCCATTTATGAGGGCGGAGTAGGCAGCTGCCTGGCCGATATGCTCAAGCAGTTCACCAAAACGAAGGTACGCGAAGGCGTCAGACGATAAAAACAAAACCGCAACAATCCTAATCCTTCCATTTGACAGCCGCGCCCCGAGGATAATCTGCCCAAACGGGTCTGCCTGAGCTGCCTGAGTGAAATAAACCACTGCTACACGTTTAAGATCAAGTGCGAAAACTCCAGTCGAACCCTTCGCCAGCTGCTGCCAAATGCCCTGCCGGAGGAGCCCGATTTCGCCCCCACAAAGTTTGTGGACTCTGCCGAGAAGGCCGTACAGACCACCGAACCCTGTGCCCCGACTACAGCCACAACTGGAGTGCAGACCACGTCTGTTCCCACCACAGATGCCGCACAGAATACCAGTATAGATAAGTCTAGCTCTGCCCCCGAAGAGGAGGATACAGAAGAAGACGGCGAAGAGTGTGAGGTTTTTGACTACGAGCTACCCGTAGAGGCTGCGGAAAAGGAGGAAAATGAAAAAGATACCACTGTGTATAAACTCGAGCCCGAGACCCAGAAGATAACAGAATGTAATATAGCCCTATTCGAGGCCCCCGACAGCGATACAGAGACACCCGAACCCGCACAGACTTCCAAACCGCAGATGAGGACACGAAAAAGTGTCGCCAAACTGCTTCTTCAACAGCAGGAGCAGGTAAAGCAGTCACCCAAGCGGGAACTAGAAGACTCAGAGACAGAGGCAAAATCTCTGCCAACACAGGCCAAGAGAACCTCACGACGTCGCCAGGCCGAAAAACAAACTGAAGATCAATCCACAAAAGAAATGGTGGCACCGCTCCCAAAACTGATCAAGGTCAGCATCACCCATGGAGAAATAATGGATCTAAAGTATCAGTGTGATCGCTGCAATGCTGGCTTTGCCTTGGAGAAATCCCTGATGATACATCGGCGACAGAAGGGGTGCATCAATCGCAATTATCCCTGCAACGAATGCGAGCGAGTGTTCGTTTCCCCCGAACATCTGGCCGAGCACCAGGCCACCCATGGCACATTCAATTGCCAGGAGTGCGGAATGCTGTACGATTCCAAGGAGCAGCTGGGCAAGCACATGGTGCAGGGCCACAAAAGGAACCTGCGCAATCAGTGCAGTGTTTGTAAGAAGGGTAAGAGATTCCGCTTGAAAAACAGCCCTCAATCCTTTCTGATTGGTTACTTTTTGCAGTGTTTACCATGCTATCAACCCTGCGGGATCACATGCGCATCCACACCGGGGAGAAGCCGTTCCTGTGCAATATTTGTGGCAAGAGCTTCACCCAAAATGCCAATCTGCGCCAGCACAAGTTGCGTCACTCGGATATCAAGAGCTTCAAGTGCACCGAGTGTCCGCATTCGTTTGTAACCAAAGCGGAGCTTACCTCCCATGCCCGCACCCACACCGGCGTCAAGCCGTTCGAGTGTGAGGTGTGCATGTCCAAGTTTACGACGAGCTGCTCGCTGGCCAAGCACAAGCGGAAACACACCGGCGAGCGACCCTATGCCTGCGACTTGTGTCCCATGCGCTTTACGGCGCTCAATGTACTCAAGAATCATCGACGCACCCACACGGGCGAGCGTCCCTATGTGTGCCCCTTCTGCTCGAAGACCTTCACACAACGCGGCGATTGCCAGATGCATCAGAAGACACATCAGGGCGACAAGATCTACATTTGTCCGGTGTGCAGCGAGGAGTTCAAATCAATGCCAGAAATGCGCACACATTTGGCCATACACGAACAGGAGGACAAGCGCTTAATGCACTTTACGCTGCTCAGCAACAAGGAGAATGGGAATGGGGGGACCCTGGATGATGAGCTCACTGAAGTGACGGATTCGGCATTGATGCTATAAGGGATATAAAAGAAGAATTAGGTTAATATGCACATCACAGAAACGACACTGACACCGACTCCTGATCATTCAGACAAATCATATCCACAGATAGATTTTAAAGGTATCTTTAAGCACACACGTCCACCTCCCTGCGGGAATCTACGACAAATTAGACATTTTTTGAAGAGCATCTTTTAGTCTTATACGCCTAAAGGTTGGTAAAAATAAAAGAAAGATCCTTAAACATAAATTGCATCTGAATCGTTAATAGAACTGTCCGAACTGCTGCCCCGTCGTCGGCTGCAGGGCTGAGGTGGTGGGTATTTCGGACAGTATGAGGGCGGCGGCACCGCTCGTTACGGGCGGATCGCCCTGGAACCAATTGACCAGCTCATGGTGCGCACTCTGGACACACTTTCGCTGGTCGGCTATCAGGTTCTCCGAGTATTTCACATGATTCGCATAGGCGTCCTTCTCGTGCTGCGCATCCTTCGACATGCGATGCAGATCCTTGAGTATTGCCGAGCCCCAGAGCTGGACATGTATGTCGGGTATCTTGCTGGCCAGCTGCATGGCCGGCGTCACCATGTTCATGCTCTCCTTGGAGTTGCCAATGCTAAGGAAAACATGCGAGAGGAGCACCAGCGAGCAGCTTGTCAATCTATTCAGGTCCTCGGCATTGGCCATCTTGAGGGTTTCCCTCAGAAATCGCCTGTAAAGCAGGATAAAGGATTAATAAATGTCTGGCCTGCAGGATTACTCGATCCGGCACTCACTTGGCCTCATGGAAGCTGTTCTTGTGGAAGGCATGCAGCCCCTGGACATAGTAGAAGCCACCCATCAGCGCCTGGCTGCTGTACGTGTGCGTGTTCTCCGTCGAGACGGCATCGAGTATTTGCTTCAGATCCGCGTCCCGCTTGGTCCGCAGATAGATAATGGCCAAATTGAGATTGGCAAAGAGTTTCAGGTCCCGCTCCGTCGTCTCGTTCACACAGACCAGAAACTGTCGTTCGGCGTGCTCAAAGAAACTCGTGGACATCGAATACAACCCGATGAGGCAGTGCAGCTGTGCCGAGTGCCGCTTCAGCAGACTCCGATGTGGGACAGCCAGGCAGACATCCCGGGCGGCCGCTATCTCTCTTATGGCCAGCTCTCGGTTGCCCATTACCATGCGGCACATCACGATATGCTCGAGCAGGATCACCTTGAACACCGACAGGATGGGCTTGTCCTCCTGCATCTTTAGTTTTTCGATCTGTGTCAAAGCTTTCTCCGTGTACTTTTGCGCCTTGTCCATGTACCCGGCCATCATCGAGTGGGACACGGTAACGAGGTAAACGAGTACGTAGAGCTGCTCTTTCGGAAGCCACACAAACATCTCCAGTTGATTGGCTCCAAAGATGGCCTCGTCCGTCGGCCAGTTGGGTGCCATTATCGTTTGTATCGACATCTGGAGCTGCTTAAGGCTGGGCTTGACGGTCTTCACCTGGCCCAGGGCCAGGTAGTAGCAGACCTGCAGGACAAGGAAGAACACTTTCAGATACTCCTTCTGGTGCGGATTAGGTATGTTATTGTCGATTATTTGTCCCGCGGTGTTCAGCAGTGCCAGAACATCGTTCGTTTTCCGCTCTATCATCAGGATCATGGCTCGGGAGAGCAGAAAGAGCACTTTCAGGTACGTGGCCCCCGCCTCTTCCGCAGACTCGGCGCCCACGGCCAGCAATTCGGACGCGAGCGAGTATTCCCGATCGCTGGCATGGATCTGTGAGAGCTGGAGCAGCAGTTTGCAGTGCCAGTAGACGTTGTGTTGTGACAGTTCCACCGCCCGCCGCAACATGGCCTTGGCCGTGTGGGAGCTCTGGTCCGTCTGCAGATGCAGTTGGGCCAAAACCGACGCAGTGTCGAATTTCACATCATCGAAATTCATCAGCGGCTCCGCAATGTTCCAGGCCTTCTCCAGGTGCTGCCTCGCCATGTCTATATTCTTTGTGTACGCCATCAGGATCTGTCCCATTTGTAGGTGCGTTCGCGCTTCCACTTTTGATGGCGGCGTGAATGTGAAGAGCGCTTGCAGGCACTGGATGCACTTCTTCACGTTTGGCGGCTGGGAGGTTCGAAAGTATTCGGCCAGGCCGAGCAGCGATATGTAGCAGGCGTCCTGGGACGCTGCCGCGGTGTTCGTTGTACTCATAGTTTCTAATTTGCTAACAAATTCGGTTTGTTTATCGCCCAATTTTGTTTTGTTGTCAATTTCGCGACAGCGATAGCGGTGGTTGCTTACTAGTGTTGGTAAACTCTGCACTTAGGGATGAAAAAAGCGGCAGTCGATAGTTGTGACCGGTGAACAGATCGATATTACGTTTTTTACCGATATGTTCAGCGATGAAATTCTACTACCGGCGGCCAGCTATCGCGGACTATATCGAAGGAAGGCCATTTGTGGAATTAAAAAAATGCGCGGGAGTATAGATAATTGTGTTCGCAGGAACCCCAATGTGATATGTTACTACGCCCAACGCCCTGAGTCCCTACGGGGAACCTCAGCTTGAGCCTCTCATCTAACTGCTGCCGGTTGGAGGTGACCACGATTTTTGCTTGAGGGAGAGATGAGAGATATTTTAGGTCTTCCATTGGTCTCAAATGGCTCCATTTTTAAAAATTAGCCAATCGTATAGAAAATGTATTACTTTATCAGATACCATTATTGTGTGACAACGGACAAACGCCTATGATACATCAGGCCGTCGCAAACGTATTACTATTAACATAATTAAGGTATCGTACTGAAAATCATTATGGATAAATTTATTTGACATATCTCATTCTTAATAATCATGTGCGTTCAGTACAAGTATTGTAAGGAATCACTGATCCCTGATCAAGGTCGCGTATGCATTCATTATGTCTTTAACCAGCAGATCCAGTTAGAGTAGCAAAACTAGATCATAAAAGTGATTCTCTTCCGCTGCTTTGTTTTTACAGTAAATCAGTTAGCAAAGTCTAGTGTCATACGCCCATTATAATCGCAAAGCTCTTAAAACAGCTGAAAACTGCTGGCTATCGATATCAACCAATATATATACACCGAAGCCGCGCTTGGGAAGCTTTTGCATTTTAATAATTAAATTCAATTCAGTTAAAAAACGCAACCGCCACGGACAAGTTTCCGTAACAATTTCTGTATATAAAATAAGGTACATTATATTACTGAATTGTTATTCATCGGTAGTTATAGTACAAATATTTGTGTTAGAAAGATTGAACCCAGCGCGAGTCTTAGCCTTTTTGTAGTATAATTTCGCAATTTTAATCAGCATATCTATATGCCTCAGTGCCCTGTGTGTCTGTATACGCGTATATCAATGTAATTGAATGTACATATTTGTCGCCCGCAATTTAAATGAGGCAATGAATTGCGCTATTTCGTATTTATAATAATTTTTTGGATTTTTTCCGCGGAGTTTCCAATGAAGCAGCGTTTCAATTGGAATTGTTATCAGCATTGATTTTAAATGGTCTTGAATGAGATCAATCGGAGGTCAGTTTCAAGGAATCGCGAAGAATTCCAGGAAGGTGACACAAGAGTTCACAGAAATTCGCAAGAATAAAAAAACTAAACAAGAAATATAGCAATTCCAATAAAACAATAAAGATCTATTTAAAGCCAAGTTCAGTGCAGCTTTTTAAGCTGACAGCCTGAGAGTCTTCCCCTACGAGTATTCATAATAAATTGTTGTTCAATAATTGGGATTTTCCCAAAAACCCGTCTCGTCTCCCACTTCAACTACAAGTGGGTGCAGATCGCAAGAGCTTCAATGGCGGCGGCGCAGGCGCGCATCACGCAAACAATACGTCAATATACTCGTACAGTAAAAATACAAACAGCAGAAAAACCAATTACAAAATCGCCAATACTCGTACAGGGTCAACAATGAGCATACACGCGCTAAAATACGGGTGTATAGCGCCGACCATTTATTTGTCCCGTCATGAATCACGTTGTGTCGGCGGTGTCTCTTCGATCTCTGGAGGGCCTCTGTCTCTGTATCTGGCTCTGCTCTGAATCTGCAACCGGTTACTGGAAATGTTAATTTTGGGTTTTTTATTTTTAATACAAAAGCCATTTTCATTGCTTTGCTGCAATCACGCAATCGTTAGCGACATCGTCACCGCTCAGCTGGTACAAAAGCTGCAGCCTGGCGCTTAAATTTCTGGCTAAACGGAACAGCGCCAGCTTTGCCAGCAACAATATTTTACGCACTATTGCTCTGGGGTATACATATATGTATGTATATGTATATATTTTTTGTTGGGTCAATATGTAATCTAAGCCCACTGGCAATACCAATGACAATACAAAAGAGATACTAAATTCCGCAGGGAGACCACATAAAAGATATCTTCAAGCCTAGTCTAGCCAGTACTTAAGCTTTTTCTCTCTCTCTCTCTCTCTCTCTCTCTAGCTGTTGCTCTTTTATGCTCGCTTCGGTGCATGCACAAAGCAACGGTTCATTATGTATGACAGCAACAACAACAACAACAGCAACAGCAATATAGTTGCGAATTTCCAGTGCAGGGGGACATGGGAGATGGGGGAAACTTTCACTTTTGTTCGGCCTGCAGAGAGATGTTGCAATTGTCAGTCGCTTAAAGATAAATACCTATCTACTTATAACTGTACGCAGTGGGAAAGCTTTGCTTTGGAGTGAATCATCCGCCCGATTCGGCTTAAGCGGTTTTAAATGAGTGTTGTTACGCTTGCCAGCAGGGCTGCCACCTACTTTGATTTATTTGGAAAACCCAAATTGAACCTCATTACTGCCATGATCTATGGCTTTTCAGGGGAAACTTTTCATGAGTCTAAGGTGATAAGAAATTCGGTGATCTGTTTTTAGGGAGAATTATATGTCAACTCTGCCTGGAACCTGCATAAATTTAGCCACATTGAGTGCTCTCCAGTCAGTCTCTCTAATCACGTCGTCGGAACATAAATTGTCAAGCAAACAAAATCTTGAGCTCCAGTCACGTAGGGGCAACAGATAACGCCCGAGCGCTGAATATTAGACCCGCCCACAGTTCAAGGTCACTAATTAATAGGCCTTCCTCTCCTCCTGCCAACCAACAGATACCCCGTAGCAAACAGAATGAAACTCCTTAGCCTGTCCCTGTTTCTGGTGCTGCTCCCGGCCTTCCTCAGCGCCGATCTATGCAGCGTAAAGCCCGACAACAAATTCCTGGGGAAGCGCCTGAATCTGTACCGCGGTCAGCAGAACTTTGCCGTATCCATGCTGGACGTGATCCGCACGTCCACGCCCAACGACAACGTGTTCTTCTCGCCGTACAGCACCTACCATGCCCTGCTGCTGGCCTACTTTGGGGCCACCGGCGAGACGGAGCAGCAGCTGAGCAGCGTCCTTCACCTGGACTGGGCCGAGTCCAAGGAAATGGTGCGCAGCGCCTACAGCCTGGAGAAGCGGAACCGCGAGACCAGGTCCAGGAAGTCGCCACTGGAGTTCTCGTCGGCGGATCGCATGTACTTCGATCAGGAAACGATTCTGGCGAGCTGCCTGGAGACCCGCTTCAGCGACGAAATCGTGAAGCTGGACTTCAAGGGTAAGCCCGAGGAGTCGCGCATTCAGATCAATGACTGGATAGCCTCCGAGACGCACAATCAGATCAAGGACATGCTGGCCCCGGGCGACATCGATGCCCGCACCCAACTGGCTCTGGCCAATGCAGCCTACTTCAAGGGCCAGTGGGTCAGCAAGTTTGAGGTTAACAACACCGCACAGAAGCCGTTCTATACGTCCAGCACGAACGCCTCGTTTGTGCCCATGATGCACCAGAAAGGTACCTTCCTGCATAACGTGGATGAGCAGCTGCGTGCCCATGTCCTGCAGATGCCCTACCGCACATCCTATAACGAGGCCGAGGAGGATGAGGAGACAAACTCTAACATGTCCATGGTAGTGGTGCTGCCACCCTTCAATAGCGGATCCCTGGAGGACGTACTGTCCCGCCTGAATGCCAAAACCCTGGAGGAGTCCCTCGACAATGCCATGCCACGTGAGATTGAGGTGTCGATACCCAAGTTTGAGTTCGAGCAGCGTCTGGAATTGGTCCCCGTAAGCCACGAACACATGTTGCTCCACGTTTAACTCTACTAATCTATAAATTTAATCTCTTAGATACTCGCAAAAATGGGAATCACCAAGATATTCGAACCGACTGCCACTTTCCATGACTTCACCGATCGGAGCGTTTCGTTTGGCGATGCCAAGCATGTGGCCAAGATCAAGGTCGATGAGGAGGGCAGCACGGCGGCGGCCGCCACTGTTTTGGTCAGCTACCGCTCGGCCCGACCCATCGAGCCCACCAAGTTCGAGTGCAACCATCCGTTCGTGTTCCTCATCTGGGATCACGCCTCCAAGGCGATCCTGTTCACGGGCATCTATCGCGATCCCAAGACAATAAAACAGTAAATCCGCGATCCTACTTCTCCTTGTTATTTCCTAATTAACCTAAATTCTAAATTCTGCCTCGACTGTAAATGACGATGTAAACGTTTAATTATATATGTACGATAATAAATTATGCCAATAACAAGTGACGTCATTTTATCGCTCTGAAAAAGGCACCGACCCGATAAGGCACAAAGAAGAGTTGATTCACGAGGGTCATCCCAGCAATCAATATGGCATCCGGAGGTACAGTGACCTTTAAAGAGCCTAGAGATTTTTTATACCCGATACTCAAAATGAATATAGTGGTATATTACTTTTTTGGCGAAAGTGGATGTTTTTAAGGAAGAGGAAGAAAGGAAGAGTTTCCGAACACATATAGTATATATATTCTTGATCAGCATCAATAGCTGAGTCGATATACCCATGTCTGTCTATCCGTCTTGTTTGATACCTAGTTCTCAGAGACTATAAGAGCTAGAGCAAACCAATTTTGTATCCAGACCCCTGTGATATCATACAGAAACAAGTGTATTTCAAAATTTGTGCATGCACCCTTCCGCAAAAGTAAAAAATTCTGTGGCATCAATAATTTTAAAGATACAAGAATACCCGAAGATTCAAAATGATAAAGAATTATAGTGTCTACTATATTTAAGAATTAGGAATAGATGAGCTCCCCTGGCTCACTTCCCTGCCACCCGCTTCTAGAGGCGACCTCTAGCGGAGTGAGCGAGATAAAACAGTCGAAAGTACTTCGTTGGTGGGAAGAGGGATATATGTATAATCGAATGTGCGCTATGGAAACAGATTGAATTATTATCATTATGTGGAAAAAAGATGGACGGAGTGCAGGAATATAAGCTGTTGAAGACATAAGATTACATATGACTGAATACTGGGTATTGTGCTTTTCCCCCACGTGACTCACGATGTGTTGTGTCTGCGGATTCGCAGGCTCGAATCGTCTTATCTGCAGATGAGGCATTAAGGGGTTATTCCCTTAATGGCGATGAAAAGACGCGGCTTTTAAGATCCATCCAGTTGTTCATTTCACTCCACCAATTCAAACACCATTTGTACATTTTAGTTTTGCTCAATTTACTAAATTCTTCATACAAAAATCGCATAAATAATCAATTGTACAAAGTTTCATTGTGGGGGTTTTTTAAGTAAACATGCATAGAAGAGAAGGGCTGGTTTTGTTTCAACTTTGAGGAGGAGCCTAGGCAACCTGGTTACACCAGCACGCGTATGTACAATATAATCAACTTTCAACTTTAATACTAAACACATAAATGAACATTCAAATCAATACTAGACAATGGGACATACAGTGAGGCTGGCTATTGGCAAAGGGCAGCCAGGGGCAAAAACGAAATTCATTGTGGGACTAAATTTTTAAATATGTCATGGCCGAGGCGAAAAGCACTGAAGGCACTTTTGTTTTTTCGATTAGGTTAGGTTTTCGGTTAGCAAGCGAATCCAATATTCATTTTAACATTAAGCAATGCCTGGTGCTCCTCGAATAAACAGTGGTCTTAACTATAACTAAATCTTGAATATATATATTTTTTGTGGTGGTCGTCAACGGGCGGCAAATCTCTTTGTTGGTTGTCTACAAGTCATCGGGTGGCATGAGAACAGCGTAGGCAGCGAAGCCAATGAATACGATGCCACCAACAATGGTGACAGTGCGCACAGAGATTTTGGAAGCCACCAGACGACCTCCAATCACAGCCAGGCCAGTGCAGATGCAATGGCCAATAATACCGCCAGCAATTACGCCGTAAACGTCCTGGAATGTGCAAAATGGGATTTAATTAGTATAGAAACTAGTTAAATTAGTTTAGAATATTATAAGCTGTGTGATAGATTTATTGCAGCATAAAAATGAATACCTTGCTGGCAGCGAGAATAATGGTGGTCAACTGAGAGCGATCACCCCACTCGGCGAGGAAAGTCATCGTAAAGGCCTGGGCCAAGATGCGCCAGGTGAAGTAGCCGGCACCACGTCGCTGCAGCGGACGACGACGACCACTCTCGGCATCATGGACAAGAGCAGCATTCACATCACGGTCCAGCTACAAGAGAAAATATATACCATTCAGGATTAGGTGGATAAATTATGGGGCGAAAGCCCATAAGAAAATGTCGATGAAAATGTGCGCAAACAAGAGGAATTGCAAATCATAAACATCGAAAGACTTTTTGTCACAGGAAACGAACAATTTTCTGTGGGGGAAAAACCAAAAATGTAATAAGCAAGAAAACGATCACTTCAAGAAAACATGCAAAAAATCCATGAGATGAGTTGGAACACTGTACGGAATGCATGAGAATGAAACAGTGTGGTGCGGGAATGGGTGGACCAAAGTACAGTGACTCCCACAAACCATACTCCAAATCCGACTTAAAATAATTACCAAAATAAAAATTTTTAAAAGTAAATCGATGAACAATGGAACTAATTTCGATTTTCGATGATTGAGGATGGTGATGTGACTGCGAAGGTGTCACTGTATTTCGTGTATGTGTGTTTGAATGTGTCAGTTTTTTGAGGGCAACAAGCATGTGAAACGAATATGAAAATTAAACAACCACAGTAGTTATGGTCGGTTATGGCTTTCATAGTTATATGTTCTTATTATGGTGGCCTAACCCGTGCTTTAAGAGTGCCATTGCCGGTGCCAGCCAGGTCCTCGCCGCCATTCAAGCTGCCACTCAGACTATGCATGCTCTCGTGTCCGGCCAGGGGAGCACGCGGCTCCAGCGCCACCCCAGTTTCCGGATCAGTCAGATCACCCGCCACGGAGGAGGAGCCGTTCAGATTCAGATTGTTGCGTGGGCTTTCACATTGGGTTTGTTCGGTCTGGTTCGATGATGCCGCCGAGTGCGACGGGCTGCTGCTGTGGAAGGTCTTCAGCTTGAGCTGTTCCACAATGCGATTGCCATCCTTGAGGAACACCTCGGACTCGCGGTAGTCGTCGCCATCATCGTTGCCAGTTTTATCACAGCTACTTTGCTTACTAGTAGAATTGGTGGTGTTATTATTGTTATTGTTGCGTCGCTGACGATGCTGCATGTCGGAGTCGTTGCCGGCTCCCGAGCCGGGGACAATAACAATGGAGTTGCGGCCATGGATGAGAGCCTGCTCGCTGGCATCCTCCTTGTCCGAGTTGCTATTCTTTCGCTTGGTCTCCGTATCCTCGTACTTGCGCGTTGCCTTGCGCAGCAACTAGAGAAATTATCGCATAATTCAGCATTTATTTGTTTTAATTTTTAGGTAGTTTATTGGTTTAGGTTTTCGAATCAGTTTTCAAATCAATTTAAATCGTTTTATATTTTTTTTGTTTGAAAGAAAAAATAATTAAAATTTGCATTAGCTTAGATTTGATTTCAGAAATTTATGTTTGGGTTTTTGATTAATATTCAGGTGGAATTGTCTTCTGGCAAAAAGCTTTTCCATATCAAACGTTTCTTTGTTTTAGTATTTTTTTTTTTATAAAAAATTTTGCAAAAAACTCTTTGGTTGTTGATATGCGGAAGACGTGCAATTAGTCACATATTAGGCTTATGTGTATGTGTGTGGTGTGTTTTTTTTTCGTTTGTAACATAAAACAAATCAGGAAGAAAATAAACAATTTAAAGCCAGAGAAAATGAGAGTTGTGGCAACCCTTGTGCTGTTTCAATGCCAACATTCCGCAACGACGCCAGCTTGTGGATTTTTTAAGGTCGAGAGGTTAATTAAATAATTTGTATTCCCATGCAACTAAGCTATAATTAAAATTATGAGAAAGCTTCGGGGCTCGTGTTGGATTAGTATTTGTAATTGTTCGCGACCCTCGTGTAGAAAATGAGATTGAAATAGCGTACTGAAGTTCAAATTGGATTTTGAATACCAAGGCTAAGGTTTATGAAGTGATCGCTTTGGCCTTGCATTTCGATTGTTTCTGTACAGTATTGCCAGGGCTTAATAATAGAAAACCACATATCAAGCGAGCTATTAACAAAAGCGTAAAGTCAACTTAAAAAAAATAATAGATATAGATATGCCACAAGCAAAAACTACTTGGATACAGTAAGAAGGGAACTACAACATATAACTACTAATAATTAACAATATCCAAAATATGCGAAAACAGAACTTACCTCATCTTCGCGCTTACGCAAATCGGTTTGGACCTCTTCGAGCTCCTCTTGAGCATCGGTTGGTTTCATCTTGTAGCCATCGTACAGCATTTTCAAGCCGAATATTAAAAATAATGCAGTTGAGATATAATACGTATAAATCTGTAGAGAAACAAAGAGTTTAGGGTTACAGTCCTATTCCGAAGGAAATCGAAACCTACCTTAGGAATAAAGTTCGCTGCCATGCCAAATACGCATGAGAGTACCGTCATAAGGGCCAAGGCGGCAATAGCACCGCCAAAGACAATCAAACGGGGATGGCGCATGGCCATTATGGCAGCAATAAAGAATGTCTTATCGCCTAGTTCTGTTAAAAGTATAACAGATATCGATGCTGTGAACGCATCGATAAAATTCCCCTTGCCCTTGGCCTGCCGATGATCCGTATCTGTGGGTTTATCTGGTAATTCATTTAGGTCCGTTGCTCTGTTCCCAACCAATTGATCCTCCACCACGCCCTGTAAAAATATCACAGAAATAAGATAATGAAATCGAATCGACCGTATGGTCAATGGACTTACGCTCTGTATTCCCGATTGTACGGCCACATTGTCTTCGTTTTCATGTTGAAATTCTGCCGCACATATCGTCGAGAATGTGAGGACCACCATCAGGGCCAGCGCCATGTGCCATTTGGCGGAACGCTTCAGGTATACATTGTTTCTGGTGGTTTGCCAGAAGTAGGATTGATTTTGTGACATCTTGGTGCTGTCTGTGCTGTATCCGCTCTTTAAGCCAGCCTCATGCAAATGGTATTCGTGTTCTTCTTCTCTGGGTTATCCGTGGTAACGATATGACGTGTCCGTTTCGTGTGACCGACTGCAAAGAAATGAAGTCAGAATCGGTTCGCTAATCAGGCAAAAAGTGTTCTCCAGCGGCTTTATTTGTATATGGCAAACACAGAAAATTGCCTGTGTGCATGTCTGTGTTTGGCCAAGTAAAATCTGAGCTCGATAGCAGGCGAATGTCAGGCCGGCCAGAGATAAGGCCAGGCTGCCTCGTACTGCGACAAGTGTCGTCTGATATGGTCAACCGAAAAGTAGCTGCTTCCACAGGCAGGCAGAGACTCCTATTAGGTAATTAAGAACTCTATAACATAAGATCTGCTATGATCCGGCCGCTCGACAGACCATTCAATACGTCAGAGGTACAGGCAACGGCAGCGGCACTTCAACCATCGATTAGATAATGTTTTCGGGGGATATTCGTTCACCCAGAATACCTAATACTCTGCGGGGAATCTACTCTTTTTATATCTCTGGCATATCTCTCTGGGATGCTTTAGCCACAAATATTTAGGTTTGTCTTTTATTATCTTTTTCTTTTAAATTAACCTCCACGCGGAAGGTCTAAACAAATATGATATTCTAACCGAAAAGGTGGATACAGAGCGTGCAAGTTTATTTATTATTTTATTTATTTAAATTTATATTTCTACAAATAATTTGGAAGCCATATTTTCTTGAAAATAAAGAAAGAAATATTCGGAAGAATCGTTTAGTCGGGCCAATTTTTATTCAATTAATTTTTTGTATTTTCAATTGAAGAGCCCTCTAGAGATAGGGTATAAATACGTGACCGACAACAGTTTCACAAAAAATGTGATTGCTATCTACATAAATATGTATACACAAGTGTAAATTCATGATTTTATTCTTTCATGCTACAGTTTTCCATATTCAGCATAGTTTCAGTCTCATTACAATTGGAAATTAGGCATTGGTACTGTTATCTGGTTTTCATTTCAGAGATAATTCTAACAATTATTTGACAGAATCATGACTAAGATTTTCTTTCATATCCTGAAGTATATATTTGCTATAAGTAAACCCCACAAACAGAGGGGAGTTTATTTTATTTAATATCCGTATGATATGAGCAATTCTTGTTGACAAAAGAGTCTGGGCGGGGGAATCTTTTCTGTGATGTTCCACAGTCATGGGCTTCCCATTTGCTTATCATAAATCATCCATTCTGTTCTTTTTACGCGTCATCTTTCTGTGTTAATGATAATTTCTGCTCTTATACTTTTTCAGCGGGTATTATGGTTATATATTCTTGATCAGCATCACCACCTTTCCTTTCGTTTGTATTAAAATCAGACGAATATTCCGTATATCTGACAAAAAGATGCATGAAACGGCATGGGTACTTCTTATCATACTCCTACGTCACAGAGAACTTGGAGGAGGAAAAAGTGGATATTTATTTGTTCAATAAATAAGAGATTAACAAGTTTGGAGTGGTTTCAAGACGCAAAAGGTCTGAGGATGCCCGCCCATAGAGGGAGAGCTTTCGTTATGCAAACACATGCCTGTTCTTCTTTCCACATAGAACTTGACTACTACGTATATACATATGTACATGTATATATGTATATACATACATATGTAAGTAAGGCGGTTACGTCGGACAACGACACTCTTAATGAACAGAACGCAAGTGGGCACTGATAAGACATACGATACAGTAGCCTGTTGTCGGGGGCGGGCGGCTTTACACCAGTTAGCTGAACTTGCACAAACAACGTCCGGGGAGACAGGGGTAATAATAATTAACTAATACATATATTTCCAGTTCTATTAAACTGAATTCAAAATACAAACAACACACAGAAAGACAAACCATACACAGACGGACGACTCTCGCTGATTGCTCTCTCCGCAAAAAAAAGAATCAAAACGGGTCGGGAAACTGTACAGATAAATCAATTGAATGCTTAGAATTTGCTGCTCAAACTGAAATATTAATATTCATTTATGGGCCGTACGTTCGCGTGTTGTAATGCTCAATGCTCTTTCTTTTTCGAATGGCTTGGCATTGATTTCTATTTCCCCCTTCTATTTTTTCTCTTGCGAATTTTCTATTTTCGTGATCAACCTACCGCCCACCGTCCACCGTTCGCTAGTACTGACTACTTGGCTATAGCAAAATTCTACCATGCCTAAAATTTACTCCATTAAAACCTCACAGTCACAAGGTCAGGCGTCGTATAATTAAGCCTAGTCAATCATTAAAACTGCAACATATAGTAGCATTGTTGTTATCATTGCGTTTCTATTGGCACTTTAATTGGCTTTAGCTGTTTTAAAGCCAAATCTAGCCATTTCTGTTTCAAGCGTTGGCATCACTATCACTAAAGACAAACACTTTGCCGCTGACGCAGACAATTTGATATTCATTTAAAATGCAATTAAAACGCGAAAATCACTTGTCACAGTTAAAAAATGCCCGTTTTGGCGCTAATCAAATTATAGTTAATTGTAACTATAATTAGATTAGTCGCATTTGCTGGAGTTGCAAAAAAAAAAAACACGTCTTTACCTTTTTCGACTCTAAAATGTGTGCTTATTACACTTACAAGGAAAATACACGGTAACTACACATTTGCGACATAATGGAAGGAAAAAGAGGGTAAGGACAAGAAACAACACGGCCAGAAAACGCAACGCTTGCAAGGTAAAATCCACCCCCTTTGCCTAATATATCTTGAATACAAAAACTAGAGGTGAGGTTCTTACGAACCTTCCAATTTGCTTTGGCTGTTTTTGCCCGTTCTTCATACCCCTTTCTATTGACCATTCAAAATTACGACTCATTTTTGCGTTGTAGGAGAGTGCTGATCAATAAAATATAAGGTCGGACCTTCAAAGACTCAATTTCGACGTGAAAATATAATGAAGAGAATAATATATAGCCCCGTAATTCGCCAGAAAAATATCTTTTAAATCCGTTATCGATGTGACAGTGTGGAGTATACAGTTGAAACAGCTGTTCGCGCCATACATAGAGATGAGCAGATCCTGCGATATATTTTGCGCTTGAATATTAGACTGTTCGAAAATATTTAAGATGTGTAAATTTGGTTTATTTTATTAATTAATCTTTCTGGATTGAGGTCAGTTTATTTTGTATATGTATGTTAAAATTAAATATATAAGAAATTTCGCGCCCATCGTGATTCGATATTTGCCACCGTTAGACAGCTGTTGCTCATCTCTAATGCCTATAGAATCCTGACGGGGAATTGATTTTGAAAGGAGCGTGCTTCCGATAAAGCAAGCAATGATATGACAGAGCCAAGATGTCGATATCTAAATTATTCGTAAAAGTATTCAATGAAAATATCTTCGAGCAGCTGGAGCAGGAGAATCCCTATTCAGACTTGGACGATGACTTGGAAGGAGCCAATTGTTCCACGGTGGCGGACCCGAAGCCGCTCAAGATGGACGAGTGGTCCGTTTCAAAGTAAGTGGTTGTTTGAATATGAAAGTCTAAAGACCCCAGCTGATCTCTGTGTCTTTTTGTGAAGGCAAATGAGCATCGTGAAGACATGGTTGGACGACAAATTTCAGCAAATACAAACCGACAGCAACGAGGAAATTCGTCGCTTATATACGGAGACAGAGTCCCGTATTGGGCCCGATTTGACCATATTCGATGTGGACTACACCACCACAGTGCGCGTATCCTCGGACAGGCTGGCCTTGCGCTCCCAAGGTAGTTTCAATACAGTGCGAACAAATTGTTGCGTTTATGGCGGCCGTTGGATGTATGAGGTAATCTCTATTTACGGGTTAAAGGGCTGGCCATCGGTCAATGACACATGCGAAGCCGGAGTGTGAGTTGCACGTGCGCACGTACTGAGAACTTGACCTTTTTTTAGGTTCAACTTCACACCAAGGGAGTCATGCAGATGGGCTGGGCCTCCAGCACATGTCAGTTCAATGAAAATAGCGGTGTTGGGGATACCAAATTGAGCTACGGCTATGATGGCAGCAAACAGCAGATCTGGCATATATCCACTAAAAAGTAGGACATTTTTTTTTTAAACTGGAATACTGATGTTTAGTAACGTCTCTCCCTTTTAGATACGGCGACAAATGGCAGATTGGGGACATTATTGGTGTGACCCTCGATGTGGATAAGGAGCTCATTGAGTACTATCGCAATGGGCGCTCGATGGGCGTGGCCTTCAATAAGCTGGAGAAGGGTCCGGGCATTACCTTCTATGCAGCCATCTCTCTGGGGTACACCCAGGGGATTCAGGCGAACTTCGGCAATCGTCCGTTCATGTATCCAGTACCAGGATTTCTGCCTCTGATGGCTCGGCCCATACTCAAGCTTCGACGTGCCAATCTGCTGATGAACTATATCACAAACCTTTCTGGCATTTTCTCCAAATACAATTCTCAGTACAAGGGCTCCGCGAACCAGAGCGAAGCTCGAGTGTCCACCAAGAAGACAGTTTACTGTATCTTTGCCACCCTGTTGATTGAAAGATTTACGAACGAGATCTTCGACCCGTATATCATTGAAGATGTGCTGCTGGCAAGGATTTCCAGCATGACCAGTCTCACAGCTGAGAAGGAGAATCCGCACAGTGTGCTGCAGGGTATGCTATCGCTCTTTTGGAACTTCATGGAGGGCGACGAAATCAAGTTTGTGCTGCGCAAGATGGTGAATGCCCTGCTGGCCACCTATACGCACACGATACAAGGCCTGGACTATGAGAAGCATCGTCAGGCGCTGAGCGTGTTGCATTGTCTGTGCCTGCATGAGCCGACAAGGAAATTTTTGCTGGAGGGAAAATTATTTAAGAAGCATTGGTGAGCAGGAGGACTATTCATATCCAACATAAAGCTATGATAAATGCCATTTTTCCAATTCCAGCATCGCATTCTTTCTGTACATCCATCCACTGGAGTTCTACATTATGGAAGAGCTGCTGCCCGACCACTTGGCCTGGACGGAAGGCATTGACGGGCCCAAGGACAAGTATCTCAACGCTGTGGAAAAGGTGCGCAAGTTGACGGAGCCACTTTACGCGGCTCAAAAAGATTTCTTGAGTACGCTGATGATAAATAAAGATGGCTCTGCGCTAGGTTCCTCCAGTCGTACAATATTTCTGTCCAAGTTGCGTCGCTATGTGATCGATCTTAGTATGGAGCAGAGGGTACGACTCATAATCTCTATTCTAAATGTAGATAACTTATACTTGAATTTACTTTTCCAATTGGGGCAGCCCTTCCATGCTTTCTTTTTCATGCAGTCGAGCATTCAGCATCCCTTGGACGCTCCGGTGGCATTGGCCTTTGTCTGCATCCTGATCGATCAGGCTCGCAGTATGTTTAGGGAGGAGCTGCCCGGCATGAATGTGGAGGTGAAAAGCGACTACTTTTTCGATGGAACTTTCGACTACATGCACTTTGATCGTGTGGGCGGCGTCCTATCGCATTTGCGCAAAGTTCACAGGTCCGACATAGATGCTCGTTTGGGATCGGTTCGCACACAGCAGATCTACGATGAGGATCGAAACAATTTGCGGAGCAACCCAATGGGTAGGTGTTAGCCTTAATCTATGTATGGGATGCCTCTATCCTAATGCTGTTTCTCTTTAAAGATGCCCTTTACCTGCTGGGTGAGAATGGGAACGACGTGGCGGTTATTGCACACACGCAGGGCGGCAACACCACCTTTACGCAATTTCTCAGTCCGCGGGGCAATCAGGGCGCAGAAGCACCGCCAGGCAATGTCGATATAGAAGCCAGTCTCTGCGATCTCTTGGATCTCTGCATCATGTTCTACTACTCGGCGGGGCACAAGTATATTGTGAAAATAGCTTCTGTAAGGGATGAGATTGCTGCACTGAACGATGTACTCAAGGAAACGAAATACTACCGCGAGGACATCGAACGCAAGCTGCTGGCTCTCGAGCAGCATGCCAATGTCTGCATGAACGATGCACATCAGCATGTAATGGGAGAACTGCGTTCCAAATTCGGTCAGCGTCAAAACGTTTTTGCGGTGAGTTTAACAAAGAGAAAGGACTGCAAAGGATTTATCCATGTTTTATTATCTGGCAGACCCGTTCTATATCGCTGTCCAGAAAGCAGCTCTGGCTTCGTGGCGTGGCCTTAAATAATCACAGGCGTTCCCTGCTCATCTGGATGCTGGAGCGTATGATACGCACCCTGACGGTGAGCTCGTTAGAATTCCATCGATGCATTGACTATATTACCCTTCCCTAAAGAGTGCCTCAAACACGGGTCCATTATTCTCCTTCGTACCCGAGGTGTATGTGAATACCTTACCTATTCTGCTTGACGCTGTAATGGACTTTAGCCATCACGATATGAAAGCCCAGTTCGAGGCGACGGATTCTGACTGCGCCGTCATTTCAGCAGCAGAATTTTTGGGCGTCCATTCGGCAGATCCGCGTATTGTGCTTGCTTCCTGCAAGGACTCGCTGCTTCAAGCCCTGGGCACACTCACCTGCCACAAATCCGGGGTGCGAGCCCTGGAACGATCCTCCCGCAGGTCCCAAGTGGCTCTGGTGCGTGCCCTACTGCGTCCGTACGAGAATCGGGCGTGGGGCCAGAGCAACTGGCTGTTGCTGCGCTTCTGGATGGGCGAGGGCTATGGGTACAAGGACGCCCGCCAGCCTTGTGTCTGGCAGGGCGGTACGCAACCGCTGCATATGGGTTTGTGCCGCAGTCGATCAAGGAACGAGACGCACACGGGACTGCTCCACAATATAGCACCCGCAAATCCATCGAAGTATTTCCAGCGCTTAATTGGATCCAAACTGATTGAGGATGAACCATTTGCCACCAGTTTTCTCAACTCGGTGCTGAGTCAACTGAATTGGGCCTTCTCGGAAT